GACTAGTATTATTCATAATAAGGGTTTTGGGTTAGATCGCGTTATTATAAATGTGTCGCAGCAACCCTCCACCACCCGACAAGGCCAATCAGTAAAAATGTGTCACGTCAACAAAATGCCGATTAGTTACTGCTTCTGCCAAGTCGCCCGAAGATGCTGGATGCAATTACCAGCGAAACGGCGTACTCAAATTCTAATTGTTGTGGATTCACTCTTCAAACACAGCGGTGGGCTGAAGAAGCAACTAATTGCCGTTTTGTCACCGTGACACATTTCTTACTGATTGGCCGTGTCGGGTGGTGGAGGGTAGCGACACATTTATCATCTTGATTTGAAGCTTTCGTGACTGCAGGAATCCATAATAATAATAACGCGATTTAACCCAAAATCTTTATTATGAGAAACATGAGATACATTTTCAGGGACGTTATGAATCTGGTTTAGATTCTTGTAATCGACGAGGAAGATTCGTTTCTCGTTATATTCCAACCAGTGCTGTTTCTGGAAGAGAAACAAGTATAACCCGTAGAAAAAAAGTTCTTCACTATAAATCCTTTATATGCGTGGCGGCTAGAGTCCTCTCGTCCTCTGGCTTGAGATGGCTGCCACCTATGGGTCAGATGATTGCATTGCACCATTAAGCAATTGGTAATTAAATATATTTTTGTCCTAAAAAGTGTAAAATTTTTGAGAAAAAAATTCACGAACATTAATTGTCACGCACAACGAGTCTGTGTGGAAAATGTCAGCTCGATTGGCTCACGGGAAGTGGGTTAAAAAACGACCGAAAGATTTGCACGGTCCTAAGCAAGCAAGCAAGTGAACTTAATATAAAGGATTTAAAAAATTAACCCGTAAAAACAAAGTTTTTCACTCTAAATCCTTTATTGCGTGGCGGCTAGAGTCCTCTCGTCCTCTGGCTTGAGATGGCTGCCACCTATGGGTCAGATGATTGTCTGCCAGCATTAAGTAATTGGTAATTAAATATTTTTAAAAAATTCCCTAAACAGTGTAAAATTTAGGAATTTTTTTTCACGAACATTAATTGTCACGCACAACGAGTCTGTGTGGAAAATGTCAGCTAGATTGGATCACGGGAAGTGGGTTAAAAAACGACCAAAAGATTTGCACGGTCGTAAGCAAGGATTTAATAAAGGATTTAAAAAGACCGCGTTGACCACGTTCGTACATGCGTGCAAACACCGCAACCACCAATAGTTGCCATTTGGTAGTAAGTGACGATTGCATCCAGTATGTATGTGCATCTTTGTGCCAGGCTAGGTGTACTCGCAATTGTATATCCACGGCTCTTGTCAATCCAGTCGCGGTTGAGGCACTTCCCCACGCCGTGTCGGTTGGCGGAGTTCTGTGTCCATACTTCACCACGCTGGTCCGTGTGGAAGTACTGTACTGTACACTACAACCGTGCGTTTTTACTTGCGCTGCCCTCTGCTGCCTACGATGTATCCTCCGCAGCAGCCCCGTCACACGTATTATGCGTGGGGGTGGCCCAGACAACAACAACAACAACAACCAAAAAACTAACCAGGCTCAATCCGGCTTGGCTTGGGAGTGCAACCGCGGGGAGACATTTTGGCGTGCGGGGCAAAGTTATGCGACCCTCCCTCCCACCCACCCCGACCCTTCCACCCACCCCGACCTTCCTATCCCACCCCGACCTTCCCATCCCACCCCGACCTTCCCATCCCACCCCGACCTTCCCATCCCACCCCGACCTTCCCATCCCACCCCGACCTTCCCATCCCACCCCGACCTTCCCATCCCACCCCGACCTTCCCATCCCACCCCGACCTTCCCATCCCACCCCGACCTCCCCACCCTTCCCCTGCTGCTGCTTCTGCTGCGGCGTCGCCGGCACCGCCCCACCAAAGATTTGAGCCACAAGCCGCCACTGCTCGCATTGTTTACAACGACTGGGCGAGACATCCGGGTGGTGCCCCCCCCACCACCACAAGACAAAGATCCCCCGTGTAGCCTTGACGGACTGTAGGGGCAAGTGCTGTTAGTAAGCACCTATGAAGGCCGGCACGGCACACGAGGGGGTGGGTGGCCAACACCACGCCCGGTCGCCTTTGTCTCCCAAGAAGCGATATTTACACATCGCACCAGGTACTCATTTGAGGCTGAGTCGACCTAGGGGAGGCCCAGGACCGGTTAAGATAATCGTCACTGGGTGTTGGCCGTGAGCGGGAATCGAACCCGGGTCGCCAGGTTCGTAGCGCAGCGCGTTAACTACTACACTACCGCTCCCCACCACCCCCCCCACCACCCACACCACCCACACCACCCACACCACCCACACCTGCCCCCCACACCCCCACCACCCACACCCGCCCCCCACACCCCCACCACCCACACCCGCCCCCCACACCCCCACCACCCACACCCCACACCCCCACCACCCACACCCGCCCCCCACACCCTCACCACCCACACCCGCCCCCCACACCCCCACCACCCACACCCGCCCCCCACCACCCCACCACCCACACCCGCCCCCCACACCCCCACCACCCACACCCGCCCCCCACACCCTCACCACCCACATCCCACACCCCCACCACCCACACCCGCCCCCCACTACCCTCACCACCCACACCCGCCCCCCACACCCCCACCACCCACACCCGCCCCCCACACCCTCACCACCCACACCCGCCCCCCACACCCCCACCACCCACACCCGCCCCCCACACCCCCACCACCCACACCCGCCCCCCACACCCCCACCACCCACACCCGCCCCCCACACCCTCACCACCCACACCCGCCCCCCCACTCCCCACCACCCACACCCGCCCCCCACACCCCCACCACCCACACCCGCCCCCCACACCCCCACCACCCACACCCGCCCCCCACACCCCCACCACCCACACCCGCCCCCCACACCCTCACCACCCACATCCCACACCCCCACCACCCACACCCGCCCCCCACACCCCCACCACCCACACCCGCCCCCCACACCCCCCACCACCCACACCCGCCCCCCACACCCTCACCACCCACATCCCACACCCCCACACCCACACCCGCCCCCACACCCCCACCACACACACCCGCCCCCCACACCCCCACCACCCACACCCGCCCCCCACACCCCCACCCCACACCCCCACCACCAACACCCGCCCCCCACACCCTCACCACCCACACCCGCCCCCCACACCCCCACCACCCACACCCGCCCCCCACACCCCCACCACCCACACCCGCCCCCCACACCCTCACCACCCACATCCCACACCCCCACCACCCACACCCGCCCCCCACACCCCCACCATCCACACCCGCCCCCCACACCCTCACCACCCACACCCGCCCCCCACACCCCCACCACCCACACCCGCCCCCCACACCCCCACCACCCACACCCGCCCCCCACACCCCCACCACCCACACCCGCCCCCCACACCCTCACCACCCACATCCCACACCCCCACCACCCACACCCGCCCCCCACACCCCCACCACCCACACCCGCCCCCCACACCCTCACCACCCACACCCCCACCATCCACACCCGCCCCCCACACCCTCACCACCCACACCCGCCCCCCACACCCCCACCACCCACACCCGCCCCCCACACCCTCACCACCCACAACCACACCCCACCCCCTTAACAGGAGGGGCGCCTGGGGCGGTGGCCCCGCCTTCCCCCCCCCACACACCTCCCCCCCACACCCCCCCCCTCTCCCCCCCCCCACACCTCCTCCCCTTTCTGTCCACATCATCATCATCACGTCCCCGGCTCGTGCGCAAATGTGACGAGATCGGGCGCATTCCGGGCGATTTGTGTCAATAGAATTCGCGTGTCGTTGACATCAAGGACCTCCCGGCCACCCGCGGCTCTGCGATACTTTAGTAGTATTCTTAGGTTTTTTTTCGGTAAAGTCACGTAGGTAAAACATCAAAATTAATGAAAATAAAATAAAAATCACGACGTTTCGGAGTAGTCGTAGTCGTCTTTGTGCACAGTGAGGTTCAGTGCTATTCGCCAGCGACGATGAAAGTTGGCACCGGCACGCGAGGGAGTGGGGGTGGCCAGCACAAAGCACAGTGCTGGGTTGTTGTTAATTTTTTTTGTAATACACACCGCAACATTTGAGGTTGAGTCGACCTAGGGGAATCCCATGATCGGTTCAGATAATCGTCACTGATGTTGGCCGGGAGTTGGGAACTAACTCGGGTCACCGGGTTCGTCACGCAGTGCACGAACCACGAGACTACACGCACAGGCGTACAGATATGCGGCGATATTCACACATCACACCAGTTACTCATTTGAGGCTGAGTCGACCTAGGGAAGGCCCAGGGCCGATTCTGATAAACCGCCGCTGGTATTGGCCGTGAGTGGGAATCAAACTGGGGTTTGCCGGGGTTCGTAGCGCACGCAGCGCGCTAAATCGCGACACCACCGCTTCCACGGGTACACACGGAGCCACACACGTGCAGTGCGCATCCATAGACACACAGCCATAGGCGTCGCCAATACCGACACCATTCGCCACGAAGTGACATCACCACGGTGCCTGTGCCAGGCCAGGTGCACGTCGAGGCCGCGTGAAGTGTCGAAGGCTCTCTGCTGACAGGGTCTCGGGACAGAAAGAGGTGCCATGGGTTGGCTGAGATGCCTGGTAGATGCCCCACCAGCTGTACCCCCCACTGCGCCAACTTGCTGTATTTTATCCGCCCTGCGCTCCGCTCGTTGTTGTGAGCGTCGCTCCTCTGCCCTTCGTTGTTGCTGGAGGGCGACTACCTCCAACTGCCCAGCAGCAGCAGCAATTTTCTTCACGAGCCTCCTCCTCCACAGAGGCCGATCTTGACACCGCTGGTAGCAGACGTCGGCAAGTCCACTCAGCTCCACGTCCTCCCGTACCGCATCACTCCATCCCTTCCCCAGCCCGTGTGAATACAACAGCCATAGAGACATACATACACACAGAGAAAAAGACAAAACAACCCACACATCACGCACACACGCGCGCGCACACAGCGGTCCCCCTTCCCTAAACCAGATGTGGTTTGAGAAGAAGACGAAAAAAAACTTGTGCGGAATTATTAAAGCGCCGTGACGACAGCGGGCCTCGCTCGGGGAGGCTAAGCGCCGTGAGCTGGCGGGTTCCGAGTTCGCGCCCGGGTACACGGAGAGAGACAGATAGAGAGAGAGCCACGGGGAGAGAGAGACAGAGAGAGAGAGAGCCACGGAGAGAGACAGAGAGCCACGGGGAGAGAGACACAGAGAGCCTCGGAGAGACAGAGCGCCACGTGTGGAAAGGGAGCTACGCGGAGACGAAAGAGCAAAGTACGTCGAGAGGAGCCGCGCGGAGAGTTACGCGGAGAGAGAGAGAAGAGAGACCTACGCGAAGAGATAGAGACAAGAGAGACCTACGCGAAGAGAGACAAGAGAGAGTAGCCACGTGAAGAGATCTCTACGCGGAGAGAGGGGGGGGGAGCCGCGCTAAAGAGAGAAGCAATCTACGGTGGATGAAGACAATTGCACCGTGTCGTGGTGGCTGTCGTGGTGGTGCACGGTCGTTGCGGTGGTGGTGGCGACGGTTACAACAATAAGCCATGTGGCCCTTGCCACTCTTCAAGCAGCACTTGGTAAAGGTACGAGGCGCGCCGCGCACACACAAAGATCCCCCGTATGGCCTCGGCACACTTGGCGAAGGCCACTCCTGGCCGCCTTTCTCTCCCCAAGCGGTGATGTTTACACACCGCACAAGGCGCAGTCCTTATTTGAGGCTGAGTCGCCCTAAGGGAGGCCCAGAACCGGTTCAAGTAGTCGTCACCGGTGTTGGGCGTAAGCGGGAATCGAACTCGGGTCCGCCGGGTTCGTAGCGCAAGAGACACAACCGCTTACCCCAGCACACGCACACGCGCGCACAGTGACAGTGGTGGAGGCGACGCACGTGGTTTTTAATATCGCCATGCAACGCGGTGTCAAAGTGCTCACAGACGGGCACCAATGGTGCGGTGACCGTGGTCGTCATTGTTGTGTCCGTGCGATCGTGTTGCCAGCAACGATGACAGTATGCAGTTGAGGACGTGTAGAGGCGTAGCGTGGTTGGCATGGGCCCTGGTGTGGAAGAATGAAATTCAGGAGCCCTCCCCTGCCCAACTTCCTTTCCCCACTCATTGTCGCCCGGCGCCTTGGCCCCTCTGGCCCCTCTGGCCCGTGGGACCCACGCGCAGTTGCACCGCCTACACACTCGATAGCGAATCCACTGGGCTGAAGTGATTGGAGTAGTGGTGACTGCGTTTTGGTGGTATCGATTGTGCTGGAGCCGGTGTTGATATGGCTGGTATTGGTGAGCATTGCGATGACAATGCTGACGGCGCTCTCGTGATTTCGGCGAAAGTTGTGATGGCAGTGGCGATCGTAGGGATGGGTCCTGTGGAAACGTGGTGGTAGTAGTGTTCGTTTCATAATTGTGGTGGTGTTTGTGAGATTTGTGACGATCATGATTCTAATGCTGATAAAAGAGGTACCGTGCAAGTATTTGCTCTTGACCAGCAGACCGTATATTGTTCATGGTGATGATGCAGGGGATGGTGGCAATAACCGAGATTAAGGTCCTGGTGTTGCTGATGATGGCGCTTACAATGATGGCTTTGATAATTCTGATGGGGTTGTTGGAGCTGAATGTTCTTGCAAGAACAGAGGATGGTGGCCGGGGGGAAGGCTTAGGTGCAGGTGATTGTGATGGTGGAAACGACTTTGGTGACCGCAGTTTTGGCAGTAGTAGTGAGGGTGGTGTGTGCTCTACATGTGTAACGCGTGTGTGTGTGTGTGTGCATGCTTTAATAATGCATCTCGTGTCCTCAACACTAACACTGCTTGAACACAAAACACACACGCGCACACACAAACAACACCCAACAACCGCCGCCACCACCACCACGACAAAAACAATCGCAGCTCTACGCACACCTCTGCCGCAAGATGGCAACTGCCCGCAGCAGGCGAGGCAGCGGAAGCAGCAGCGGCAGCAGCGACATTGGCGGTGGTGCCGCCAGCTGCAGCGGCAGCAGGAGAAGTCTCCTGCCTCCGGCAGTCGACGTCCGAGCCAAGGCCTTCCTGAGCCGGACAACACAGACCGACTCCGCCCTGGACTTGAACCCGTCTACCCCGCGTCGCCGAGTCATCACCAAGGACGGCCGCAGCAACGTGCGCTTCGGGAACGTGCAGGGCCGACGCTCGCTCTACCTCAGCGACCTGTGGACGACGTTCGTCGACATGCGCTGGCGCTACAAGCTCGTGCTCTTCAGCGGCGCGTTCACCGGCACGTGGTTTGTCTTCGGTCTGCTGTGGTACCTGCTCGCGCTTTGGCACGGCGACATCGGCGGCGTCGCCGCCGCGTCACCTACGCCGCCAACGTTGGAGCTTGGGGGGAACGCAGAAGCGGAGACACCGCCGGTGCCCGGAGAAGCCTCGAACCACACGCCGTGCGTGTCCAACGTGGCGACGCTCACGGGCGCGTTTCTCTTCTCGCTCGAGTCCCAGACGACCATCGGCTACGGCTTCCGCTGCATCACGGAGGAGTGCCCGGCCGCCACGGCGCTGCTCATCGTGCAGCTCGTGCTCACCACCATCCTCGAGGTGCAGGGCCCGTGCGCTGCTGCTGCTGCTCGCCCCGACTGCTACTGCGCTTCCATGCCATGTCATGTGTTTATTGGGGAAAGCCTCGCTGAGTATCCGGACCAGTTTTTGTTCTGGAGGATCCTGCATTGGGATGTTTGTGCCAATTCTGTTTTCCACGAATGTGCGTTTTGATTTGCATGAAAGAAAGTTGGAGTAACCGGAGAAATCCCATCATGCCTGCGAAAGGATGACAACACTCGAAAGTCCACACAGATGGGTGCATGCACCCACTTTTAATTCTGTCATGTTATGGCCACCTTGCAGCCCAGCGGGTGTGTACATTTCAAATATTTTTTTTATTTACAAACCCATACCGCTAGAACACTGGATAACATGGATGTGCAATGCTGAGAACCTAAGAGTCAAGGCTCCGACTCTGACATAGAACAGTTCCATTTTATAGTTTTTATTCTAGCTGTGCCTTCGGCAGCATGTTTTGAGACGAAGGGTCAAATCGTAGTTCTCGCAAAGCTTGTGCATCACCCCGGGTATTAGAGAACAGTCAGCAGAAGGTGATAAAACATTGCTCTCAAATTCCTCCAACGGACCTCATTCACACTAGGAGACACACTTTTCCACACCTTACAACACATACATTTTCATCACATGGCAGTCAACCCCATGTGTTTATAATTCACAAAGCTGGAAATCGAGGCAATTATGTGAAAATGAAAACTTAACGTAATATTAGTTTTTACAGTCACTTGGTGAGCAAACTAAAAGCATGACCTCTCGACACTTGGGGACCCAGATCTGGGGTGGTGACCCAGATTCGAACCCGACAACTCCATGGAGCCAGCTGGATGCTCTTCGCCCTGAGCCAGTCGGTCACCTTCATCAACGTTGTGGCTCTTAAAGCCAGCGCTACGAGTCTTAACATACACGTCACTATGTCAGCCAGGGTGGTGATATCTGTGATCACATGGTCGTCCACGGTGGCACTGTCAATGGCAACGTCCTCTACTTTATCAATGCCTCGCCCTCCCTGCGTAGGTGTTCGTGACCGGCGCTCTTCTCGCCAAGGTTGCACGTCCAAAGAGCCGCGCCGAGAACGTCCGCTTCAGTCGGCGCGCCGTTGTGTCGTGGTACGGCAGCGGCGGCAGCGCTGGCCAGGGCCGCCCGTGCCTGTCGGTGCGCGTGGCCGACATACGGCGCCGCGGGCTCTTGCTCGCGTGCCGCGCTACCGGAAAACTGCTGCACTCGCGCGTCACGGCCGAGGGCGAACCCATCGCCCTCGAGCAGGCCAGCGTCGACTTCCGGGCCGACGCTACCGGCGTCGACGATAGCCCCTTCCTGGCACTGCCCATCACGTTCCGGCACTTTCTGGACACTCCTCGGAGCCCCCTGGGCTGGCTGCTGGAGGAGGAGGGGACGCAGCGCGGCGCGCGTGAGCGGCCATTCGGGAGCGAGCGCGGGCTGGTGGGGCACGGCCACGGGCGAGGGCCGCTCGGGGACTTTGAGCTTGTGGTGTTGCTCAGCGCCACCGTGGAGGCGACGAGCGCCACCTGCCAGGTTCCCGCACGGTGCCAGCGGACGGCACTCTGCACGGGCAAATGAAGCAAAGGCTCTGGGGTGCCGGGCAGCTTCAATAGGCCCCAGATTCACGAAAGAGGGTTGCATCAAATAATTGGCTCAATGACGCATAGCAAGATAATTAATGTAAACACCAGTTCATCTATCTTGCCTTTTATCTTATCTGCATCTCTCCTCTCATCTCACTACATCTGTATTTGTGTCTGGTATTTTTCTTATCTCACTAAAAGCTACATCTGTTGTCTGCATCTGTTCTGTCATCTCATCTCAGTACAAGAATAATTTCGGCTCAGGGCCCTGCAATAGGCCGGTATCAGTACTGCCATACACTACCACTACTGTCAATTCATCGGTGCATCATAGTCGTCATCATCAGCTGTATGTATGTTGAACTTCTTGTATGTAGCTAACCATGCTAATCAGAGGTGCGCGGGGAAGGACAACAAACACAGTGGCTGTGGGTAGCTTCATCGTCACCTTGGGAGTTGTGGACATGCTCACAGTAATGTAAACTATCTTCAGCATGTTAAATTCACAGTGATGTTGGGCTGTTACTGTGGCCATGGCCTTGTCGTTTTAACCCCCATGTGAATGCACATCCCAGTGACTTTTCAAAACCATCACAGAGGTGTGTTTTGTTTTGGACTTGGATGTTTTTCATTTTCACTGTCTGAAGTAAAAAATAAATTGTTGCTCGTTTATCTGTCATGAATATATCCGTAACTATATCGATATCTCCGTGACACTTCTCTCCTGGTTACAGTCTTACCTCTCAAATTGATTATTCTACAATTCCATGCGAAGAGTGAGTGAACTGCAAAACCACCACCATGGTCTCCATGATTCTCCATGAACTCACCACTTCCTACGTTTCCTACTTTCATAATCACTCCACTCACCACCAGATAATCTCCACTCGGGCATGAAAGGCTTTCTCTCAAAACCCTCCATCAAATTCAACTCATGTGGTGGTTGCTCCTTGTCTGTTGCTGCCCCATGGTCTTTAATATCCAAATCCATCCTGTAGACTCATTGCTCCCGTCTAAATGGAAGGTGAAGACCTTCCTCCCATGCCCATGACTCTCTTGTACCTATGCAGCTTATTTATTCACTCAATCACTTAAACAATGCACCTCCACGTTGGCAGTTCCCCGTAATTCAGCGTTTCGAGATGCAGATACATTTAGATGCTCTAAAAATCCAACTTGTATACACAAGGTTGGTTAACCTCTGGAATACGTGCTACATTATAATTTCCGCTTGATTTATCGGCATTGTCTGCGACTGCCATTACATTCACCTAAGCTGATGATGTGATAATGTTGATGGTCACAATGACGGTGATGATCACCATGCTGCTGCTGACCTTCATGATAAATGTGGTGCCGATGATAATAACGATGATGATGTTTGCTCATGACGCTGACAATGGTGCCGATGATGTTGGTGGCGATGACGTGCAGGTGAGAACCTCGTACCTGCCCGAGGAGGTGCTCTGGGGCTACGACTTCGCTCCCATCATCTCCCTCTCCCCCAGCGGGAAGTACACAGCCGACCTCTCCCGGTTTGATGAGGTATAGTTTCCACCACATTAAAGCCACTCTGATGTTTCGACTCTAACCCTCCATGTAGATGCACTCGTGGACAACTCGTCTGCCAATCCACCACTGGGTGAGGGCCTCTGCATCCTTCGTGGGCTGTGGGGGTTATTTGGCTATATTGGATCATATTCTTAGGTTTTTTCGGTAAAGTCACGTAGGTAAAACATTAAAATTAATAAAAGTAAAATATTTTATTTTTAAATTAATAAAAGTAAAATATTTTATTTTACTTTTATTAATTTTAATGTTTTACCTACGTGACTTTACCGAAAGAACCTAAGAATATGAATCCTTGCAGTCACGAAAGCTTCAAATCTAGAATATATTGGATCATGCTGGTCCATGTGGGTTGGTGAAGGCAGGATGCAAAGACATGTTCGCATAGAAGAGTGGTTCTCAAAGTGTGGTCTCCAGGTCACCAGTGATCCGCGACGGTCCTCCACGTGGTCCGTGTGTTGATGCAAATGCAGGTTTATAGGGAAATAAGTAAAATTAACATTTTACTTATGATATTTAAAGTTAGGTAAACTACCCTGATTAAACTCCCATAACACTCCGATCTAAATGTCATGAGGGGTGGGGGGCTGTGTAGTCCGTGGACATGTTTGCATCGGTTGAGCGGTGCGCGGGCCAAAAAATTGTGGAGAAACACTGGCATAGAAGAACAGTATGTCAATGGGATTGTTTGCACTGCCTCCTGCTGCCCACAACATAACCCTGCAGCATATGTAATGGATTCTGCATGGTGTTCGCCGAAGTAAGTACTATCCAGGTTCAACCCCACTTAGCCGCAGAGATCTGATGAAGTTGGGCACATTCTGGGTTATTTGGTTCTAATATTGTCATTCTTGCTAGGGTGCCTTAGTTTGGCTCTTTAAATCAGTGTGTTACATGAGTCTTCAGAACCTAAATATTGTCTTTGGCCTCTGCAACTGGAGGGGGATAACAGTTATGAAACATGCCCAACGTGAAGCTAATGATTACTTTTCAAATTATAGATTTAATTGTGGTGCTCAAAGTTTAGCACACACACAACCCCGGGCGCTGTGTTATGGTGAGCACAGCACATGACTGCATGTTCCTAATCACCGGCTACTTTGACGGTGTTTTTTTATGTACTTATATTATTATAAATATTAATTTCAAACCTTTCGTGGTGGAGGGGGTGGCCGATTGGCTTAGGTATAAGAGCACTGAATCAGATGCTGGGATCGTGGGTAAGAATCTGGATGTCCATCCATGATTAAATTTGGGTGTTAAATATACTGTAGTGTGTTTAAGGTTTCAGTTTGCTAACCATTGACTGCATAAGAAAACACAATTTTGTTTGTTACTTAATTTGGCTGATTCCAACTCTGATATTGAAGTTATATATATACATATATATTAAAAGCTTAGTAGTATGTACAATCATGGGTTAAAGTTGAGTGAATGCATTATCAGAATAGTTAGATTTACATGAATTGTCATGCAAACATTTGATGTAAGTTTCATGAGTGGTTACACGTCACATTTGGAGTTGATCTCGTGTGAAAACAAATAACTCATTCCATGGTGCCAAGAAAATCTGTTGGAATAAAATTTTGAAGAAGATTGACCACAATTATAATAAGAAACTGAATTTGGTACTAAAATACTCCCGGTACGTTTGCTGCCATCTGTAATACTGGCAGTATGCAAAGTACCACATACTCGTCGAATGACAGACCAGATGCTGCAAGATTCAATTGTAATTGTGACCACTAGCAGGAGTGGCGTCACCCTGTCGCGTCCGTGTCTGCCCCCAGGTGGTCCACGTGCCGATGCCGTGCTGTGTAGGTGAGCGACACACAGCGCCGCAGCCCTCGTTGTTGCCGTCACCGCCGTCGCGGCCCCTCCCGCCGTTCCCTCCACCGTTCCCCCAGGAAGGTGGCCTCAGAACCAACGGGGTGGCCTTGGGCCCCAGGGAGGGCGGTATGGACGGTGAAGTTGTGCGCGTCAGCAACGTATGAAAGTACTGCACCCCTGACCACAAGTGGCAACATCGTTGATTATACCCCAGCTTCCTGCCACCAGATTTCGTAACAGAGCAGCCACTGATAATAGGTTTTTTACCCTTCTATCTGGCAACAAAACTGACACCTTTTTTTACAAGGAGTCATGTTTGCATAGACCACAATACCTGCAGTCAAAATGCAAACAAAAAATATAACTCTGATAATGTATGCACTGTCCTTGAAGTTGATTGGTCCACGCCCGAGACAGCTTTCCTTAGAGCCTAGTCTCACATGGGTTGGACCAGATGAGGCCAAAAGGCGCACAACTCAAAGACAATGCACCAGCAGAGTATGAGAGCTCGGGGTAAGCATTTACACCATTGGAACCTCATTTGCCAGTAAAAAATATGATATTTTGTTTTTACCCTTCTATCTGGCAACAAAACTGACAGTCAGTTTATATGATAATTGTTTTTTTACCCTTCTATCTGGCAACAAAACTGACAGTTTTGTTGCCAGATAGCAGGGTAAAAAAACAATTATATTTTTTACTGGCAAATGAGGTTCCAATGGTGTAAGAGCAGCCACTGTCAGAGGGAAATACGGGGTATTTTGGTTAAAGGGCACTGATCGATACAACTTTCAACAGTTGCGGTTAATGGTTGCTCAAGTGTTTATGACAAACTGACATGGTGTGGCGTCATCTTGAACAATAACACGTGCCGATTATTTAAAGGTGATGCTGTAAACACCAGAACAAAAATGAGCCGAAAACTGAAAAGGTCACGTGCTAATATAGATGGGAACCAGTGCCGAACAGTTTTGAGGATGGTGCATACAAGCCAAAACGCCAATCTTACGTCTAATAACCGACCAGTAACACCCATGCCGCTGACTCAAACCGAGCCCCGCCTCCAGTTATTTGCCAGGCCCTATTTAGAGTTTTTGTTCACTTTCCAGTTTTGGTGTCCGCAGTACGGATTTGCCACCAGCGCCAGCTCTGGTGATGCAACTTGCCACCAGCACCACCTCTGGTGACACTAATTGCTGTCGCGTACATTTTCCGATGTCAGCTCTCTTAATTGGACAACATCTTTTGGTTGTTGCTGCCGCCTGTCCCCTGACCCCTGCCGACTTCTCGTGGAAGCTACAGGGCTGCCTGCCACTGCCGCCAGTTTGTTTGTAATTGCGCAACCACCGTCTGCCACCGCTGCCGGTTTGTGATCGCGCCAAAACTGCTGCTGGCAGCAATCTGCGATTCGTTTGCCTCCCTGGTGCAGCAGCAGCCGCCAAGTTTTGATCCCAGCGTCGCAGTGACTGGATGAGCTGGTGGGGGGGGCCGCAGTACAGAAAGTAGGTTTCAGAGCCAACGAGGTTGTAACTGTAGGTTGCAGTAGCAGCAGATTAACGGTATACTAGCACTTTATAGTTCGCCTAATACGCATGTACATGCTCGAAAATACAACACATTGTCCAAGCATCCCAGACTAACTTCTGACCATTAGAGCCTTGAAGAATCTGCGGTTTGCCCGGGTAAACGATTTTTATATTTTCTAAATATCTCGACACAGAATGTCAAGTCACGCATGGACTTGATGCTTTCCTTGGCCGTACTGTAGATGACATACGGGTGGGAATATCAATGAGATGTACTTAATTTAAGCATGCAAAAACATACTCGACATGCGTACATACAAAGCATATACGCTTGCAAGAGCTCGTCACAAATTTTTGCTGCTTCATAGGAAAATCTGAAAATAAAATATTGTTAACGAGCAAACAAGGGGATTGTTTGAATGACTGAAACGATATGAAGGGTGGCTCGGTATTCACTACTGTCCAAGTACCTCGCTGAGGCAGAAAGCCTGAGGCAAAGTAAATTGCAGGATGCCAATTGCGGCCGTGTTTATCTTTCATGGGAAAACGCACAACATTGCACAAGACAAAACTGGGCAAAAGGCACCCAGTTACGCGCGTATAAAAAGCACTGAAAGGATGTGTTTTTCATGTTATCGTTAAATAAATCCCAACTTTTTACTGCTATAAAACCGCCCTAATATCGTAGCCCTGATTATGACTGGGAAAAAAAAATCTACGTATAGTGGATTCACCTTCTTGGTTCTTTCGGTAAAGTCACGTGACTTTACCGAAAGAACCAAGAAGATGAATCCCTGCAGTCACGAAAGCTTTAAATCGAAATTTAGTGAATTCACGTTTGGGCAACGGTCCATTTTGGAGGAAAGTTGTAAAATACACAAATAGAATGCGATTCAACTGCAATAAAAAAACACGCGCCTGACAAAATTTAATTTGGCTTAACGGGATACCAAATATTCGCGTTTCTGCCGAATATTAACTTGCTTATTTAATTTCCGCTTTGGACGACACAAGCGCATTGTCTTGGAAGTGGACAACTGTAGGATGCAGTTTTAGTTTCGTCATTGCGATCATTTTAACCCCTCCCTCCTCCATCCCCACTGTGTTTGAAGCTGTAGAGGTTGTCCACCATAATGCCGTCTCAAGACTTTGTAAAGTTGTGGGATTGTCTGTCGTGTTCAGCCTTTACGACCTCTCTGGGTTCATGTGGAGTTTCCTGCTATTGACAGTCACTGCACTTTCGGTTCCAAGAAGGGGAAATGGTTCAATTGTACATGTATAAATAAAACCTTCCTCATAAACTGCGTCCTCAATGAGTACAACAATAATGAAAGACTTGATAATATGGCAAGGTCGTGGGATACATTTGTCAAAGGAACTAGGCCGAATGTATATATGTGTGTTTCTATTACTAGTTTGCAAAGCCATTTTCCACTGGAATAGGCAGAACTCATTCAAGCAGAAAATGTATTTGCAAACACAGAGGGCCCTGTGTGATGCATGTCCAGCAAACGTACGCACACGTTCGGCACGATCATCTCATAGAAGCAAATAGGTGCGGTGTGGAATGGAGAAGCATTCGGCTGTTTCCCGTCCTCCCTCCTTGTCCCCCTTCCCCCACTGGAATAAACTCCCCCTGTACATTAAGCAGTCTCCACTCCTTCCGTTCCTCTGTGACAGCGCACCTCTACTCAAGTGCCCATTCGCCCTCGCCCTTGCCCGTCCATTCTTTCCGGTCCCATTCGCTCCCCTTTTCCCTCGCCCCTATGCCACCACCTCGATTGTGGTCACACATTCATCAACAAAGGAGCCGTCCATAAATGACGTCACGCACCGAGGGAGGGCAGACATTTGTGACGATGTGTGACGATGGGGGTGGGGGGGTGAGAAATGTGACGTCACATCAAAATGCGCAACTTTAAATATAGACAACACGTTCTACTTAATTAAATTGACTTTTTTAAATACATGTTTTCTCCTACAACATCAGAGTGCAGCGCCACATTACATACTCACTACAATGACAATAGTTTAAAGCGATTTGAAGCATGTTTTATTTTTTTTGGGGGGGAGCAGAGCTTTGTGATGTCATATTTGAAAGGGGGGTCTGACTTTTTGTGACGCCGTGTGACGATGTGGGGGGGGGGGGGGCAAAAATCGTCCAAAATCGCGTGACGTCATTTATGAACGGCCCCAAAGAGCAGGCGAGTGGATGGGGTGGGTGGCATTGGTTCTTATTCTGGCAATTTCTGTCTTCGTAGCCAAACTATAAGCAAAGTAATTCATAACTTTCGTCATCGCGCATGAATAAACTGTGTATGTAATTACATGGTTTTTTTTTGACAAGCCGGTACAAGCCCATCCTGTATGGGGCGATCATTTTTAGTTTCTCGTGCAGCGAGACCCTTATATATCCTGTCGGGGCTCATCAACATACACAGTGGTATCCCTAGGGTCTTCATCCACACATCAGGTTTATATCAAAAGAAAGCTTCTCAGACGATGCACGGCTGCACGTGCATTGCAGGACGGACTCCGTGCCGGCAGATATCAACGAAGCATCTGCACCGGTCTGGAGCCACGTGTCCACAACATCAGCCCGGCGGATGTCTGCAAACCGGCTCAAAATCAATCCGGGAAAACACAAAAGTAATCCGGCTCGATACGAGACTCTGAAATCAATCTGCCGCTCAACAGTCGTCCCAAAGTTGAGCTCGGTCAGCATTGAACCGTCAGTGTTCACATCACTTTTTCCCAGATTCCGGCCTCACCCGATGGGTCTCCGCAGTCAGACGCGCATGCTTTTTACCACAACTGCATCTACTGCAACGGCATCCGACGTTCAAATCAACCTCGGACGCTGCCGCCACGCCAGTCAACGCGCGTGTAATAAGCGTCTCCGACACGGGTTAACTTCAGTTGTATTTATTCTTAAGTTGCAGTACAGCATGCGTCTCTCCCTCTCTCCCTTATCGCGGCCTGCTTTGCTTTCCTCCCTCGGGACGCGGCTCACGCTTGCCTCACTCCCCGCGTGTCGGAGAGAGAGGAGAGGCTCTGCTGGTGGGAGCGAAGGCGGTGACAACGTTCAGACCCAGGCTCTTCACACCGACGACCTCGAGCCACTCTGTTGCTCCGGCTTATATCCCTCTAGGCGGGCTAAGCCCCGCCTCGAGCCACGCCCCTCTCGGAACCTTCCAGAGGGCTCTCCAGGCTTCCCGCTAGCTCCGCCCATTTACCTTTCACCCAGATGCCTCTCACTGATTGGATGCGAGACAACGTAACACGTGGCTCCTCCCACCCTCAACCAGTATATATACAAATACTGATTCTTGGAATTTCTCTCACTTGATACAGCTATCGTGCTGTGATGGTTCCACCTGAAGACGGAAGCTTGTGTTGCCTCCAAAACGTCGTGATTTTTATTTTATTTTTTATTTTACTTTTATTAATTTTTATTTTTTACCTACGTTACTTTACCGAAAAAAACCTAAGAATATAACGTAACACGTATCTGCAATAACCACCCGGTCGTCCTGTAGGTGGCGCACTCTCATTACACGTGCATCACCAGTCGCAGTGACGATTGGGTTACTGAACTCCTCCGCACGCCTTCTGACGAACACCCAGCGTTACGACCACAGGCTTTGTCCACCCGTGCGTGACCAACTGCCCCCGGCTGCGAGCACCAGAGCCAACTTGCCCGACCGCCTCTGTCACCATTCCTCGAATCTGTCGGAGATGTTTGTAGCAGTGGTCAACAAAGAACACCAGCGATATCTCCAGTCCGCTAAGTATGGAGATGGAGTCGCGCCACCCAATGTCAAATATCTCACACGTCAAACACACCATCAACATGTAACGTCAACGATTTAAGGCCGAGGGTCGGAGGACGTTTTCACTGCAAGGAGTTCAATTCTGGAAATTTCCCGCTGATGTTGGTTGTAACTATATCAGTGGAACGTCGAACCCAATTGTTACTTGTTGGCAAATGCTCATCAACATACTGGAGCAATGTTACATGTGATTGTTTATTTACGTGACAACTTTATGAAGTTGGCTGCGTCGAGTGGAGAGTGTACGACACACACTGATTGGCATTGTAGTCACGCATTCTGTATTACAAATTATTAATCATAACATTGGTCGTGAATCCATACGCGTTAAATGAATGCTCTACTTTTGACACATTCCAAGTGTAAATATAAAAAATACGTGGCATTATATTTGCATGATATATGTTTAATAATCGACAACATTAAAATGTGTATATAACATCCACTGGGCTGCATTTATACTGGTAGGAACCTCCTAGTTACACCAGCCCACAGGGGATTATTGTGTCCGTCCGTCGTGCAGGAAGGGGCTGGGTGGGGAGGGAGGGGCTGGGTGGGAAGAGGAGGGTGGGGCTGGGTGGGGAGGGGAGGGTGGGGAGGGGCTGGGTGGGGAGAGTGGGGCTGGGTGGGGGGTGGGAGATGTGGGGCTGGGTGGGGAGGGGCTGGTCACCCCGTGGTGCCCTTATAAAACTCAACGTTTAACCTACTCACGCCGGCTTGTGCCCGCCCTCACAGTCGATAGCACATTGGGAAGTGGGTTAAAATTGAGTTACAATATTTTTTGAGGATACGACAACAGACATAGTGAGTTAAATAAAAGCGTATAAATAAAAACTGCAACACTTTAGCTAACGTTCAAAAATAATAAAATGTCAGAATAATAACTCACGCAATTCGTTATGCACTTTGGCACCAATGTTGAGCCTCGCAATGCATGTTGAAGTTTTTTCCAAACTTCATGAAAGCCCTCAAAGTTAATTCGCTCCTACAAATGAAGCATTGAGATGCCTTACAAGTCTCAAAAACACGTCCCAGCGGCTGTGCCTCAATCAAGGCATAGGTTTGTATTATCTCTGCATGGCTTCACTTCTTCGACTCCAGTGATGTTGTAGTGGGGTTTTACCCCTTTAACCACAACACAAGTAGTCAAAAATGCACCTTTTGTTTGCATTTTTGACTACTTGTGTTGTGGTTATTGCAAACATGATGCCTTGTATAAAGGTGTCAGTTTTGTACTAGTTTAAAAGGGTAAAAACCTACTACTATATTTTGCCACTGGTAAAAGAGATAGTGTAAATGCTTACCCCGAGCTCTCAATACTCTGATATTGCACTGTGTTTGAGTTGTACGCCTTCTGGTGTCATCTGGTCCAACACCAATGGGGACTAGGCTCTAAAGAAAGCCGTCTCGGGTGTGGACCAATCAACTTCAAGGACAGTGCATATTATTATCATTATCAGAGTTGCTTCTTTTTGTTTGCATTTTTGACTACTTGTGTTGTGGTTATTGCAAACATGATGCCTTGTATAAAGGTGTCAGTTTTGTACCAGTTTAAAAGGGTAAAAACCTACTACTATATTTTGCCACTGGTAAAAGAGATCTCATAGTGTAAATCCAGTGATGTTTTTAAAATCCACCTAATAACGTTATAACTCAGCACAAAGATCTCTTATCAAAACCTATAGGTATACTGTACCCTGCTATGTTGTACAACTAAGAATAGGCCCCCAAGATGCATGTTCATGCCACCTCTAAAAAAACTAAACTTCAAAAGATAAATCACGATCATTTGTAAGAATCATACCGTTATGTTACATTCGCTGTCAAACGTTTCTCATCACTCTATCATTTACAAGTCACTCCAATTGTATTCATAAAAGCCATAACATTGAGGCTGTTATGTTTAATCTGTTATGTTTAATCTGGTATTCTAGCCCCAGGTTGGTGGAAACAATGTTTATGTAACTCCATTTTAATTTTATAACATTGTAAAAATGAAGTTTCCAAACAATGTTCCTACCCTGACTCTATCTTGCCTATATTGTTTCCCGGTAAAGTTGGACCCTTTCAGGTTTGGTTACTAGGCCACAGAGGTAAGAATAGTGGTGTCTATGCATTGCAGTCCATCGACGCAATATAAGATGCAGGCTGTTCCTAGGCAGGCTCGCCACCACTGACTAACTTTTTTTTTCTCACACTTTTGTTATGTAGGCTAGGCGTAGTCACAAACCGAACCTCTCCATAACAAAGGCTCAGTCTTTTGTTATGCAGTCTATTCATAGTCTCAAGCCGCACCTTACCATATTAATAAAAAGTGGTGTGCCGTACTTGGCCCTTCCCCTCTTCAACCATTATATATACGGAGTGGTAGCTCTTGTAATCTCTCATTTACGTGATACAGCTGTCGTGGCTGTGACGGTTCCACCTGAAGACGGAAGCTTGTGTTGCCTCCGAAACATCGTGATTTTTATTTATTTTTATATTACTTTTATTAATTTTAATTTTTTTTTTACCTACGTGACTTTACCGAAAAACCCTAAGAATATTATCTGAGAGATCGACAACCCTTTAGCAACACACATTACACCGTACAACGAACCGTTTATGGTCCATTAGACATAGCGACTCATACAAAAATCCCGTTTGCTCTTAGTATTTTTCTAATATTATTCAGCAAAGATATGGCTAAAGAAGCATGACTACAAATAGAACGTAAAACATTGACTCGACCAGACATAGAACACATTTCATTTGTGTCCATTGTAAGAAACGTTAACAACCCATCGATGTGCTGCTGTGCACTCAATAGCAACTGTTGTAATACTCTAGCCTGGCTACCATCATATCTTCTCATCATTGCATTGATTCGGTTATATAAGGTATCTAGGCTTTCCCACACAGAAGAAAGTCCCGATGTGATTTCTGAGACGCAATACGCCCACAATTCACCTCTTCTCAACATCGCAAACCCCTCAGATAAATGTTCAATCCCTCTGACGACAGCACTCACGTGTGGAGTATTGTTTTGATCACCAATGGCCATAAAATTGGAACAAATTGCATTTAAGAGTCCAGTGGTGAGGCCTACCTCTTCCGATCTTTCACTTAATAGTTGGTCATTTCCAACAGGAGAGGGTACATTTCTATTAACTGGTGGTACATTTTCATTTGGTGAGAAAGAGCGAGATTGCCTTGGCGCTACACTATTTGTGACTGGAACAAATGGTGCTCTTGTTGGTGTTTCATAATTACTCATTGAGAGTCCAGTGGTGAGGCCTACCTCTTCCGATCTTTCACTTAATAGTTGGTCATTTCCAACAGGAGAGGGTACATTTCTATTAACTGGTGGTACATTTTCATTTGGTGAGAAAGAGCGAGATTGCCTTGGCGCTACACTATTTGTGACTGGAACAAATGGTGCTCTTGTTGGTGTTTCATAATTACTCATTGAGAGTCCAGTGGTGAGGCCTACCTCTTCCGATCTTTCACTTAATAGTTGGTCATTTCCAACGGGAGAGGGTACATTTCTATTAACTGGTGGTACATTTTCATTCGGTGAGAAAGAGCTCAATTGCTTTGGTGCCACCCTCTTTATGACTGGAATAATTTGTTCTCTTGTTCGTGTTTCATAATAACTCATTAAGTAATGTTCACACATGTTTAAACGTATCATTTCAGAATTTCCACCCGGAGAGTCTGGGCCATGTGTACCACAACATTGTCGCATCAGTTCGCCGAATCCTATATCGAGAATTATACCCAGAACTCCCCCGACTACTGCTGTACGTGCAATTAATGTAAAGTAGTAATCTGAACCTGCATATGAATGGAAAGCTGCACTTTCAAGTAATGCTGTTAAAGAATATTCAAAGTGGCGAGAAATTAATCGTACACCCGAAGCCAGACGAGTAGCTGCAGACCTAACAGTTTGAGCACTGCGTCCAGTGACATGTCTGAATAAAGATACTGATCTTCTCCATCTGCTGCCACCTTCACCTCCTCTATCTCTGTTCCCTCTGCCTCTTCTTTTATCTGCTCTTTCACCGCCACTGCTTCCTCCTCCAGAGTCTCCACTGAAAGGCCTAACAGTATGAGCACTGTTTCCAGTCAAACGTCTAAACAAAGCTCCCAATCTTCTACATATGCTGCTACCTTGACCTCTATTTCTTTCACCCCCACCACTTCCTCCTACCGAGTCTTTATCTCCTCTTGTACCTCCACCTCTTTCTCCCCCCGATTCTCTACCTTGTCTTTCACCTTCACCTCTTCCTCCTCCCCAATCTCTACCTCCTCTTTCACCTCTAAGTCTTCCTTCTCCAGAGTCTCTACCTCCTCTTTCACTTTCAGCTCTTCCAACTCCCCAGTCTCTACCTCCTCTTTCACCTCTAAATCTCCCTTCTCCCCAGTCTCTACCCCCTCCTCCACCTCCCACTCTCCCTCCTCCCCAGTCTCTACCCCCTCCTCCACCTCCTACTCTTCCTCCTCCCCAGTCTCTACCCCCTCCTCCACCTCCCACTCTCCCTCCTCCCCAGTCTCTACCCCCTCCTTCACCTCCCACTCTCCCTCCTCCCCATTCTCTACGCCCTCCATCACCTCCCACTCTTCCTCCTTCCCATTCTCTACCCCCTTCAGGTCTTCCTTCGTAATAATTATCATCATCTACTATTAATCCAACACCGACCAACCCGAGTAACCCGGCAGAAACCCGAGTGACATAAATAGGGATGGTGTTCCCCAGCACCATTGGGGAGAACCTCATTGAGTAGACAACAAGGGGGCGCAGGAACGAAGAGACCCAGGAGAACATGATTCCTCCACCTGCGTAATGCCAGCGAGTGTGCGTTTGAAGTGGAAGGGTTTAAGATGAGGTCGCCTTGTGCTGCTGCCGAATAGTTCCAATAAACCGTTAGTGCCTTTTGTCCATCAAGGAATCCTGCACGCACACACACACAGACATGAGACCGCATCACATATTTAACGATAGAATGCGTAGCCCGTACGTGCAAAGCAATTTGGTAATAGACTAGAGCTTGGCTTTCGCGGATAGAGAATCGTTGATTAAAATACTATGAAAAAGAAAAGTAGAGCAACCATTGTCCATGGGATGAGAGGAAAATGATGCGGACGAGCACGTACGCGCATGTGATGGGTTCCCACGTCTGGGCCACGATGCCATCATGTACATGTATAGCCCCTTTGTCAAGCCACTGCTTCATGAGGGATGTGGCGATTATTGGACCATATTTCTGAGGCTGGTCAGCTGGTCAGCTGGTCACCAAGGGTTAAAGGTGGGGTATATGCAGTATCTTGGAGCATGGACGTACTGTACAGTGCTACAAAGTGCTTGCCACAAATTAACCACAATACCTTGCTGGTCTCTTCAAGGAGCATAAACCATCATGCAAACTCCGGTCATCTTCGCAGCAACGGCTTTTGGCTGGTCATCGAACAAAGACGGTCACTGCAACGCGCGCTTTCAAATGCGCTTCTGCGGCCGTCTGGAACGCTCTTCCTTCCGATATTAGGAAGCCACTGGAGCTATACACTTTTTAATCCAGACTGAAAAATAATTTCTGTGCCACTGATTTTGGTGTTTAATTTGTTGTCCTTCCCCCGCACCTCCAATTCGAGCGGTTGGCTTCGTATGGTGCAAAAGAAGTCCAAGTTCAATTCACACACATGGAGCTGCACTGCCCTCTGCTGCCCAACACGTAGCCACGCAGCGATGTGGTAACCCCTTGCGTGGTGGCCGCCCATCCAAATGTAGTGAGTTCGAATTAGGTGCACACACACACAGCTTGGAGGCAACACTATTTATTAAACGGTAAGCAATATAACACTGTACATGAGGTGGTGACCACCTTCCTCAACTCACTAACACTCTGGGACACGACACAGAGCGGACCAGGCAGGCAACGGGCTGCCTGGTCCAGGACGACAACCCGGGACTTGAGGACCGATGATGTCGTCTTCACTTCGGAGTTCAACAGCCTCGATCTGCGTTCACACCCCGCTTATATCCGCTCTGGCGTGGCCGGCTCTGCCCAGGCCACGCCTCCCTTCACAGGCCACGCCTCCCTTGCCAGGCCACGCCTCCCTTCCCAGGCCACGCCTCCCATCCCAGGCCACGCCTCCCTTGCCAGGCCACGCCTCCCTTCCCAGGCCACGCCTCCCTTCCCAGGCCACACCTCCCTTCACAGGCCACGCCTCCCTTCCCAGGCCACGCCTCCCTTCCCAGGCCACGCCTCCCATCCCAGGCCACGCCTCCCTTCCCAGGCCACGCCTCCCTTCCCAGGCCACGCCTCCTTTCCCAGGCCACGCCTCCCTTCCCAGGCCACGCCTCCCTTCCCAGGCCACACCTCCCTTCACAGGCCACGCCTCCCTTCCCAGGCCACGCCTCCCTTCCCAGGCCACACCTCCCTTCACAGGCCACGCCTCCCTTCACAGGCCACGCCTCCCTTCCCCCACCTCACGGGAGGTCTGGGTCCCTCCACCACGTGACCCCCAGGCACCCCCTTGGGGCCCCCAGCCCTCGTACGGGCCGACACAGTAGTGACCGTTCTATGTCACTACACATGCAAATCCCTTAATCGGCCCAGTCGGGAATGGGGGGCTGGAGGGTCTGAGCCCCCCCTCCCCCCCCAGTTAAAGGCCCTGCCCCTCTTTCAAGTCCTCATCGTCACGGCGTCGCTGCTATTCCTCATGTACAGAGTGATCCAGATGCCTTGTGACGCCCCAATTCATTGACCCCTAAAAATTTTTTCCCGTGACATATGAATTTGTTTTAAATAAACCTTAATTTTAAAAATGTTAAGTTTTAGAGAATTTAATGGGGTCACAATACATCTGGACCCACCCCGTGATGTACATCAGGGGGGGTGACGGAGTCGAGCAGAATGCATGGCAGACGAAATAAGAAAATGTTGTTACCTATTGTCTCGATTTTAATATTTGTTCACCGTACTAACAAACGTTGAAGTCTATTCTTACACTGTGTCGCCACCCCGCCTTTCCCTTGGGGCTTTTGTAGCCCCCCGTGTATCAAGCAGTTCTCACATCTGTAAATGACTAGAAAATGAATCTAAGCCAGTTTGCATGGCAAAGAGGAATGCTCCGGCGACACTGAAACTTGCGCTCGTGTTGTGAAATGGGGGGGTAGGTGGGGGGGGGGGCTCACCTGGGCTGTGCCGATTGTGTTCGCCTCCTATCGCTGTCGGGGTTCGAGCGAAGAGACGAGAAGATCGTCCTACGGTCACTGGCAGCAGCCTCTTCCCTCCCTCCCTGGGGGCTGTAATGATGCCTTAGAGCAGCTGGTAACAGTCGAGGTGACGCAGATGGACAACAGCTTTGGCTTGATGTGAGCTCAACGGAACGAGGCTTGGCGATTAAAATGTAACGTGTTCAACAACCGTACGTCGAGTTACACGCAGCACGGTGTTAACTTGGCATGCGTAGAGGGAAATACAGCAAGCGATGCAGAGAATGCGGTCCAAAACAAGAAGGCTCGGGTCATCGTCGCAGCAACTTATGGCTAAGAATCGAACAAAGACGGTCACTGCATCGCGCGATTTCAGATGCGCTTCTGCGGCCGTCTGGAACGCTCTTCCTTCCGATATTAGGACGCCACTGGAGCTGTGCACTTGTAATTAATCGAGATTGAAAACTAATTTCTTTAGTTTGCTGCGATCCCCCCGCACCTGCGAGGAGCCAGCTTGGCTTAGGTCTGGTGCGAAATAAGTTCAACAACATACGTAATGCAGAACTATGTGGTCAGTTTGTTAAAATAGGTTTTCTTTTTTTGCATTAACGGTAACCAATTGGAAGAAAAAAAATCAACGTTTTCGGTTTACCGCATGTTACGTTAATAAAACATGTTAATAAAACATAACCATGTCTCTCTTTTTGAAATGTGCGGACCATGAAGGGCAGTGGTAAATAAGGAACCGAAAGACTGAAGCCTCGCCGCCATTGTCATCGCCACCGTCGTAACTTTCGCAATATTTAGCAGAATAACGTTTCGGACAACGGCTCTTGATCGAGAGCAAGACAACAAGGCAGGCGCGTTCGGCGAACTCCAACTGCGCCGAGTGTGACGAAGCGAACGCGGCACTGCGTTATAGGCAGCGTTGAACGCGCGCTGAATCTCACCTGCGCTGAATCTCACCTGCGCTGAATCTCACCTGCGCTGAACCTCACCTGCGCTGAATCTCACCTGCGCTGAACCTCACCTGCGACAGGTGACACGACCGGACAATCCGTGTACGCCTTCAATCGTGAAATGTGAACGACGTTGCCGAATTAAAAGTGCAATAGTTTTTAAGTCCTCGACTATAAGCTATACTGTACAGTAGATACTTATATACACATACAGGCCTATGTACTTCTTTGTCTTGGGAGAATTTTTTTTTACCTAAAAAAAACCCCCTACTTAGTGAAGGAACGCAATCGTCGTCGTCTTTGTTTTACATTCGCTCAGCCAATGAGAGGCGGCCTTAGACTCGGAGACAACTAGCACCCCACCCACGGCCATTCGATTATAACGATTCGCGGCCACTATTGACATTTACAAATATATGTTAATCTACCGGACACGTCCCGCTGGGCGAAAGACCCCGGGGCCGGCCCACAGGACGCTCTGGTGGGACTCCGTCGCTCGGCTGGCCTGGGAATTCCCCAGGGAGAGCTTGAGTCTGTGTATAGTGTCGTAGTGTAAAGCAAGGCAGTAGCCATGGAGTCAACATTGGGGGGGACCAAATCTTCCAGGGGGTCTGGGGTCCCCCCCTCCCAGAAAAAAATCTAAATTAGAAAACGAATTTCCCGCCTAAAATATAAAAAAAGAATTCACTAACATAGGATGGACTTTTTATATATCTTACTACAATATATCAGTGTATCGTATTACATTGCTGTTTTTTCTTTTTTACCTTTTCGTGTTTCATTGTATGTAATGGCAGAGATTAGGGATTCATAAAGTACAACCATAACCACCATAATATAAACAGAAATCTATTTTATAGCAATATATTGGGCGGGGGGGGGGGACATTTTGAGCATATTTGAATATTATAATTATGGCCTTGGTGTAAAGTGTGGTAGTGTAGTGTAAAAATAAGGGTTACCGTCTAATGCTAATAGCATTATTACCGATACCCCAATGATTCCCTCGTATATTGCTCAGACATAAGATATAACGCTGTCGGGAACGCATTCTCATGTACACAATGGTATGACCCCTTTTAACATGGATTCGATCAGCGCTCACTTCTCCAGGAACGCAACTTGAGCGCTAAGCGAGTCTGTCTCATCGACAGACATGCTCTTCACCTGAGGACGGCTGCTTGCGTTGTGGCCGAAACGTCGTGAGAATTATTTAATTATGTTTTATTTTTATTATTTTATTACTTCCCTTCTACGTGACTTTACCGAAAGAACCAAGATGTTTAATAACAATCATTAATTTTTTTTACGAAATTTATGCTTCTCCATTCTCCCATGGAGAAGCAAAATGCTCCTTCATGGAATATATAAAAGTTGACCTTAATACATTTAAATAATCAAATAATTAATGAATATTAATCTAAATTAGTGTTGTGAAAACAATTCTATTCTATTGGTTATATTTATTTAAAGTTGCGCATTTTGATGTGACGTCACATTTCTTAAACCCCCACCCCCGTCACACATCGTCACAAATGTCTGACTCCCCTCCCCCCTAGTGAGTGACGTAATTTATAGACGGCCCCTATACAATACAGCCTCAGGGAGGGGATAATTGTGTTTCTCTGTTGGGCTGTTGCCAGAATCAGTCCATTTAAAATGCTGTTAGTGCAATTGCATAATTGCTGTGTGCAAGGCCGAGGGCATGTGTTTAATGCTTGTGGTAGTTCAGAGTACAGATGGCTTTATTGCTTGATTGGGCTTTGGTTAAACAAGCACGTGCTGGGTTATGAGAACTCAGCATTGAGGGCCTGTGACGGTGTTTTTTAGAGGACATCAGCTTCATTACCACTGCTGTAAGAATGACGATGCTTATTTGGCTGTAAAGGCTGAGGATAAGAAACTTTGTTGTAAGAGGTTCCGGCCGGTATAAAAATTATTAAGAACGATAGTTACGGAGTATGAGGGAGCTGGTCTACTGTTTAAGTTATCTGGTAATTTGAAGTGTAAGATATGAATAGGTTATATTAGTGTGGCTGGCCACTGTCTTTAAATGAGTCACTCATTAACAGTCGAATGTGCAGCGACTCAGTGAAGTTAATTATTGGCAACGAGGATTAAAGCAGACTGGAGGGAAACAGAGTTCAGTGGTAATTCCCAGGATACTCGAGGTACGCATAGGAGCGTTGTGGTGGGGAGTGGATGCCCTTGCGACAGACTGGGAGAGCCCCAAGGGCAATGCCCTCCGGTCCGAATCAGCTGGTCACTCGGACCAGGGTACACAATCCTCGCAAACTAGATCATCCGAGCAAAGCTTGGGGTCCAGCGAGTGTGGTACCAATACAGGTTCACAATTGTACAACGTCACTTAGGTAGTGACAATCACAGTGTGCCATGTCGGAAAAGACAAACGTTGGGTTATAATCTCCAGCACCCAGTACTAGTCTAGACAGTACCTTTGTGGGATCTACCACTAACTTCAAATAGTCTCTTCTGGGCCACCTTAAAAAAAACATTGGTATCTTGTGATTTTAAGATGTGTAGATAACAGGTCCCTGCGAGGTGGGCTGGTAGGAATGAACAAATGAATGGTTATAATAAAATTTCACACACGCGGGGGTATGATACGGAGAGTTTGAGGCCTAGTTCTAGGCTTTAGGCCTAGCTGTAGGCTTTAGGCCGCTGTGAGTTAATTAATTTAAATATGTTAATAATTAAAAACTATCTCAGGGAATTATAAGGGAATGTTACACTTGTTTAGCCAGGAAAGCCTCACTGAGTCTAAAGGTTTTTGTAGGGTCCTGCCAAGTGTTTGCAGTAGGGGCCGATGTTGCTACACCTAATCGGACATCGGACGGACGATATAATCTATTGTAGGCTGGTTCACTTCGTTCCTACCAGTAACAGACCACTTGAATGAGTAGTACTTTTATATATATTCTGAAAACATCACAGCTTGCCCAACCTTAACTCATGTATTTTCAATAAGTATTCCAGGCTGAAGTGTACTTCATTCAAGATTTATGTTTTATACACAATTTTATTGATACTTTTACAGTTATTGTTGGAACGATTTTTATCCATGCATGGTATACCACTGCGTGCACAGGTTTTGCGCGGTGCGTATTGCGTGATGTGTGATGCACTGTTTGTAAGGAAGTGCCGAGGAGTGTGGCACAGCGTGTGCACTAGGCGAGGTGGTGCCTGGGGCACACTAGGTGGCCTTGTTCGCAGTTCCTTGAGGCACCTCCTGGTGGGTCTGCAGAGCGAGCTGGATCCGAGCTCCATTCTGCGCGTCCAAACGTGCGAACATCTGTGCACAAGTGTCACACCACATACCAGGTCGAACCACATCATACCATGTGCCATACCACTTTATCATACCATACCACACACAACACACGTCATGACATACATACAAAGAGCCACAACACATAACACACCATACCACATACCAAGTAAAATAACACCACACACGTCGCACAAAATACAACACAGAACCACACAACATACCAAACCAAACTGATGACACCAAACCACATGTTAGACATGGATTCTCCCATCCAGGAATTCGATAAATTGTCACGAATTAAAGTTTTGATTTAATTGAATAATCAATTATTTAGTTTATTTCATGTTATTTAATTTCCCATTTGTTCAGTTTTGTTTGTTCTATTAGCCTAAGTGAAACATTAGCATATAATCATAATATACAACCCTTTGACAATCGACTGCTAAACATCGGCCTCCACCATGACGTTCTCGTCACAGGGTTTTGTTTGGCCATACACACTGGTCAACGCAGCTTGATGAAGTGGGGGACCACGACTGGTTCAGATACAAATTTGCCACTCACATCAGTTACTGATAACGAATCGAGTTCAGGTCAGCGGATTTACAGCACAGTGCACTAAAGACTGCGCTACTATCATTATCATATAATGTGCATAAATAGTCAAGGGTATTTGAGATACATGACTCACAGCATGTAAAGTGAAAGTAAAAATAAATTTTAACAAATTAATGGATGCATAATTACTAATAATGTAGCATGCCACACGCTGTACCAAGTCACAACACAACACCCCATATGCCACACCGCATACCGAGCCATAGACCACCACTACAGTTGGTAATATTGATGGTGGTGAAGGTGTGGTGGTGATCGTGGTGGTGATCGTAGTGGTGATCGTGGTGGTGATTTTGATGATGGTGGTGATTTTGATGATGGTGGTGATCACGGTACTGATGGGGATGATACCGATGTTGATGGTACACCAATGTTGTTGTTGGTGATTGTGGTGGTACTGATGTCATGGTGGTATTGGTATTGATTGCGCCACCTGTATGAGGTCAATCCCTTCTGGGCGGCTCAGTGTTGCCTCTTTGCTGAAGGGTGACTCTGGGTGGAGGAGGTGGAATATGGAGACCAGGTCTACTGCATCCTCCAGCCTGCCATAAAATCACCACCATAAACACCGACACAATCAACATCGCAGACACCGACACAACCAACATCATTACCAACATCACTGCTGATATCAACACATGCACCATCACCAAAATGTATTATCAACACAACCATTATGCATGTGAACGGAAAGTTGTAAATCAGCCTCTTTGGCATGAAGTGTAAATACATAGCTTTGTGTGTCCATACATAGGATGTATGTATAAGTATGTGCATCCAAATATATGTGTATAAACTTGTGTTTGCGTCTAATCCCAGTTGGATTCACGACTACAGCTAATATCAATGGCGAGTGATATCGGAACGAGTTCTGGTCCTCTCAAACATCAACTCAGCCTTAAATGAGTACCTGTCGTAGGTGTAAACATCATTTGGTACACAAAGGGAGTTGGGTATTGGAGCTCGCCATTCTGCCCCCTCATGCTTGCAGGCCTTCATAGGTGCTCACGAAAAGCACCTGCACCAAGAATCTACGCAGGCTATGCAGGGGACCATTGTATGTGTGTATACATTGCATGTGTACGTTGCACGCACCGGTCTCTCTGTATGAGGTCGATGAGTAGGCTGTCGATGCGCCGCGTCTTCAGTAGGAACCACACGAGACCAGGGTAGTGGCGCGTGCTGTGCAGGGTGTGTGTCGCATCGCGCTTGTACAGGTCTTCGTACACGTATTCGTGCACCTATCACGACAGGCCGCACCAACACAAAAACCTCCAATGTCCTGCGCACACAAGTGATGACATTATAACTGAAATGTCGGATGGATGCTCGTCTTCCCGAAATTTGATTGGATGGTATAAGTG